CCACACAGGCCCCCCCGCCAGGCTGCGCATGCACATGGTGCGGGCGAGGGCGGCCGCCCTTTTCCTCTGTGGGAAAGTTGCCTGGTAACTTTCCTGTTAGCTGGAAAATTATAATAATAATAAAACCCCTCCTTGCTCAGGAAACGGCAGCGAGCGGGATGGAAGGCGGCAGCACTCGGAGCAAACAGAATCCCAGCGGGACTGGGGCTCTCGAGGGCCATTCCGAATACGAAGGGCCGGGGGGGCAGGTGTAAACTGGTGTCACTCCACTAAGGCTGATGGAGCTGTGTTGATTTCCCCCACCCGAGAATCTGCCCCCTACACACCTTAAAAAGTGGGACGTGCCCAGCTGAGTTCAGGATCAAGCCCTCATTAACCCCGGGGAGCAGCAATCCTTCCTGGCTCCCTCCAGCCCCTAGCTGTGTAGATGGAGAAACTGAGGCACCGAGAAGGGTCAGGACTTCTGGGCCACCGCAGAGCTGGGAGGAGGGCCCAGGAGCCCTAGGGAGGAGGGTTTCTGGAGCCCGGGGAGTTTCGGAGGGAGGACGTTGTCGTGGGATTGGTAGCTGCAGGGCTGGAGGCTCCTGGGAGCTGACAGAGGGCGCTTGTCTCTCTGCAGGTGGTGGACATGCACAAGGAGAAAGTGTCGCGGCGGGAGATCGGAACGTTGACTGTCTGTAAGAGGCCCCCCCCCTACCAGAAAATCATCTATCCAACCTACCAGGAGCCGCTGGAAGCCTACTTCCGGAAACCCCTCAACTTCAGCATCCTGGACGACGTGGGCCACGGGATAAAGGTCAGAGCAAACCCCCGGGGCAGCCCCACGCTGGGGGCAGCTTGAAGGGACCTCACAAGGCTGAGTCCTGGGAGATGCTCCGGCGCAGTCGGACGTTGCTGGGATTGGGGGGGGGGGTTGCTTAGCGAGCAGGGAAGGCCAATTGCACTGGGACACTCCGGGGGGATATTCTGTGGCCGGATTCCGCCGGCCAGGCCGCTGGATGCTCACAATGATCCCCCCGGCCGGAGCACGTCTCAGCCACTGGTCTGAAAGCGAGCATTGCTTTTTTCAAGGTGCTTCTTCTTGGGGTGCCCAGTGTGCCAAGCCTTCAAAGGCCGGGTTTTGGCAAGCGCTGAGCGCTGGACACCACGCCCCTCAACTGCAAATCCGGCACTCCGAACTGCTGGTCGCCTCCGACCGGCTTGGCCTGTCCATCTACGGGAAAGAGCTCCCGGCTTCACCGAATTCGTTCTTCCTGGCCCTTCCGAGGTGCAGCCAGTCTCTCCTCCTACCTAGCACAGGCCAGAGAACTTGCCCACGGCCTTTCCGAGAGGATTTCCTTGTAGAAAAACATCCAGGCTTGGTTTTGGAATGGTCAGGGATGGAGAATCCGCCGCGGCCCCTGGAAAATTGCTCCGGTGGTTGAAGGAACCCACAGTCCAACCCTCCCATGAGGGGTCACGGTGCAGTCGGAGAACGTAACTGTCCCCGTGCGTCCTGCAGGCTCCCCGTGTCCTACAGACGTGAATTAACCCTTCACACACCAAAAAACATCCAGGCTTGGTTTTGGAATGGTCAGGGATGGAGAATCCGCCGCGGCCCCTGGAAAATTGCTCCGGTGGTTGAAGGAACCCACAGTCCAACCCTCCCATGAGGGGTCACGGTGCAGTCGGAGAACGTAACTGTCCCCGTGCGTCCTGCAGGCTCCCCGTGTCCTACAGACGTGAATTAACCCTTCACACACCACTGCAAAGCGAGTCAGGGCGGAACCGGGAACAGAACCCCGGATTCCCCAGAGCCCTGCTCCGTCCGCCTGCCCACCCAACTCTCCGACTGTGGTCAGCTCCGCCC